GCCTCTTCTGGCTTCGCGTCTCTTCTCCACCCCTACATTAAGCAGATCCGAACGGTGCAGCAGGGCAATCTGAATAGCTTATCTCCACCAACTGGTTTGGTACAAGCCACAATGATGTCACGTAGGTTGGGTCATCATTTCATGGAAGGTGCAAATGGTCTTATCTGCATGGTGGTTTGCTGGGATTGTGCCTCTCAGAATCCTGAGATAAGGAAGCCTTTGGCTGGCTGGGAATTTCGGGAGGCTGGGAATTTTGGGAGGCCAGTTCCCCACTCCCAACTCTGGAGAGCACCAGGTGAAGGAAAGCTAATCAGCACCATGAGCTTCCTATCAGTTTTACCCTGACGTAATTGTCACAGCTCCTCTCAAAGGTTCCTGGGTATTGTAGTTTGGTAAAGACGCTGAGGATATGAAGACAAAAAGTCTAAGGTTGTCTTCACACCAGTTTTAGCAAACTTCTCTGGGGAAGAAGGAAGGACTATTAAGCCAGTTTGAGACCTACTGAGTACTTTTCCCCATAAAAAGACCACCGTTTATTTTGCATCCGTTCATGCATCTGACTTGGATATAAAGATAGGGTGCAAAGAGGCACTTGAACAAGCATAGCCAGGGGTGTCTGCAGGGTGTGGTCATAAAAGTCAAGATGGCATCCATGGCAGTGTGATTGAAGATCCACCCATTTTTTATGTGTATCGTGGCTGCCATCTCGACTTTTATGACCACACGGACATAAAAGCAAGCAGAGTTTCAATCACACTGTCACAGCTGTCATCTTTACTTTCTGGACCACATCCTGCAGACACCCTTGACTGGACCACTGTTGCTGTCTTGACTTCTCTTAGAAAGACATCTGGATATCTTCTACCTGGTTTTGTGCTGGCCGTCTCCCAAGTCCCAAGTCAATTACGTTTTCCACAAAAGACAAGGTGGGGTTAACGGAGTCTTGCAGAATCCAGAGCTTCTCAATTGCTTCTGAGCGGATTGTCCAAAATAGCTCTTCTGATTTGGAAGCAGGAATGTGACTGGCGGGAGGACCATCAAGTAGAGGTCTATCAACAGCTGGGGCTCCTTCTGCTGAAGGAGATGTTGCAGAGAGCAGGGTGTAGTGTTGATGGCTGGGGCGGGGGGAGTCTTGGATGAATCAACGATTCGCAGGAGTTAAATAACTAGTCGTGGGGTGGCTTGCTGTCCCAATTATCCCAGGGACTCTGGAGCTTCATGGAGATAGGGAAGGGCATGTCTTTTCAAACCATCTGATAAGGCATTTGATTGGCTCAAGGATGAAGGGGGAGCTGGGTCTCCCCACGACTCTTTCATCTGGCAAGGCCTAGTAAGGTGGTCGTGAAAGAGGAGGGGCACTGTACTGGAAGACTGAAGGCTGCTAGTGAGGTGGGATGGGGTGGGGAGGGAATGACAACCGAGTCTAATTCAGGAACATCCCTCCCAGTCCCATGAGGAGCCCTCGCTACATCGTTTGTGCAAAACCAGTCCATTCGGTGGCACTGTCGCACGTACCTCTCCCCGCCCCAAAGAATCTCTGTGCGGACTCCTGTCTTGCCTCCCCCTTGATGTCTGAAGCCCAGGGCATCACCCCCCTTTACTCCCCCCCCCCAGCCTCTCTAGTCCTCGCACTCCTGTGTCCCGGTCCAAATGCACAGTATTGTTTCTGTGTGTCACTATTTCTCACCCAACCTGCTCCTGATGTATAGCCCGGCCTGGTGCGAGTGTCTGGTTCGTTTTGTTTGTATCTGTAATTCATTAAAAAGGTGGTTCTACCTGACCGGGCTGCGTTTTTCTCATTCTTTCTGTGCCTTGCTACCGCCAGCTTTGTTTCTTCCCATCACTGCCTCCCTGGATTCCTTTCTGAGCATCTAGCATTACCATTTGGTATCTGCTTTTATTATCATCATTTGTTTAATGTAATGTAGTGAAATTCAGTTTAATTCAGTTTGGCTCAGCTGGTGGGTTTTGCACTTTCTACATGCCCAGGGGAACTTTCCTTGTGCTGTCTGCAAGCAGGGCTCTCCAGCCAGAGATGTCCACAGGTTATGGTCCAAAACGTCAAGATGGCAACTGTGATGATTGTCATCCTGACTTTTGGTCCATACGCTTGACTTTGCGGGCCATTATCTGTGGACACCCCATCTGCAACTTTTTCTCAACTGAGAGCCATGCTTGGCTTTCAAATGGCATGCAAGCGTCGCAGTCCCCAAATAGAGTGGGCACAGCCGGGATGAAAATTGCATTTAATTTCCTTTCCTTTCCATGTAATTAACATTAAACGCAGTTCATATGCCAACTCTCTCGTCATCGATTTACTCATTTCCTCCTCCTGATCCGTTTCCCATTGCAACCCGCAAACCACATTTGAACATCTCTGAGAGCCACCTCCAATACTTTGGAGAGGCCGCGTGGTCCCCTAAACTCTGCACCTCAGAATGGGAAGCTGGCTTTAAATAAAGAACGCCCTCTAGGAAAAAGGGCGTTTGGTCTTTCTGCTGGTCATTTTGAGAGAATTGTGGGTGACTAAGAGCACTGTTCAGAGATGAATGTTGGTGGTTGGGCCCTGAGGATGACCCAAAAGAGTCAGAAAGGGAAAGTATTCCGAAAAATGATGGAACCCAGATCAGACCATTCTGTGGAAATATTTGAATCCAAGCATGACTGTTCACACATGCATAAAAGTCCCTGAAGGCAACAAAGGATAACTTGCACATGTGAACGAGCCATTGCACAGGTTAACGCCTTAGACCAGTGTTTCTCAACCTTGGCAACTTGAAGACGTGTGGACTACAACTCCCAGAATTCCCCAGCCAGCCATGGGGAATGGCTAGGGAATTCTGGGAGCTGAAGTCCACTCATCTTCAAG